ACCCAGCTGCGAGAGGCTTTGAGAAAATGATCGTCAGACCACCAGGCCGTGAAGGTGGGAAGCCACACCCTCACCCTGGGGCTGGAAGTGTGGGTCCCAGTCCCAGCAAGAGCATGCGAACAGATGGTCAGGAGGAGTGGTGTCAGGACGGGGTCCTAAGGTGCCAGGACAAAGGGCCTGCCTTCACACCTGTGCCCTTCCTTCTCCCTGAAGATTTCTCACCTTCCCACCATTTGCTCTCTGGCCCCGGGGTGGGGGGAGACGAGACTGAGCCATAAGGCCCTAGGAGAGCTGGCTCCTTCACCCAGCACCTCAGTTTCTCCGTTATTATGGTGGGAATGGCTGCTTTTCAGGTCTCCCCAAGGGCCCTCACTTGCCTTTGTGTCTGGAGCCGGGCATAGTGAGATGGGGAGGGGATTTGGAGAAAGGACAATTGTTGCAAACCTGCAAACCTATTCTAAAATTGAGAGCAGGAATAAAGCCAAGCCAGGGACATTTTTCTTCTCTCCCCCTGAATTTGTTTGGAACTTTATGAGAAAAATAAGACTTTATTTAAAGATGTGTGTGCTAGAGGTTTTCATCTACAAAAATAGATAAAAGGCTGTGGACTGAGTGGAAACTGGACACAGAGGGAGGCAACTAGCGCACGGCTCATTGTTAGCATCTGACCAGGCGGCAGGAATTTGAATTCTGAATTTGTTAGCCTGGCTCACCCCACTTTTAGACCCCGATGCCTTCCAGTCGAAGAGTGGGATGAATGATACTGTCAAAGAACTGGGAAAGGGGTGTTTTTCTCGGAGTCGGCCTCCCATAGCAGGGGAAGGGGCAGATGTCATGGGCCTCCACCTGCCTGCCCGCACTAGGCCTACATCTTTCTGCAGACAGAGCCCCTCAGAGCATGGGTATGGGGAGGCAGACATGGCTTGAAACATTTTAGCAAGAGCCGGATCCCAGAGCCCAAGCTAGACCCTGAGACTCAGAGATGAGATCCTCAGCCAGCTCTAGCTATCGGTCAGAACGTAGCAGGAGGTCTGGAAGCCCTATCAGCTGTCTTCTGCTAGCCCGAGAAGCTCCTACCACCCTCTCAGCTGAAACACAAGAGCCCTATGCCTGGTTGGAAGTGCAAAGCATGGGAGGGCATCTCTCAGAGGAGAGAGCCCTGTGTGTTCAGGAGTACTATCTCAGTATCAGCTGTGGAGAATGAGCGAGACAAGGTGCCCTCATTTTCTCTTCTGAGATATTATTAAGAAAACGGTTTGAATTACAAAAGGAACAGGTGTTCTGTGTGGGATACTTGGGGAAAGTGTTTTTGGTGCGTTTCATCACAGCTTCTTCCCAGGCCCATATTATAGATGTGAAACCCAGGTCCACCCTGGGGAAGCAAGCAGATCGCTCCGAGTCACACGGCGAGAGGCCAGGCACTGCTCTCCTTTTAAGCAGGCTCCTTTGCCTCAGCCTAGCTCAGCACACACTCTTGATCTGACCACTGAGCCACCTTCTCTTTCCAGGCTCTCATTCCCTGAACTCATGCCCAGAAACCTCTCCTGTTTGAGCAGGCAGGCAGCTCACAGTGAAGTGGTATTCCCGGAGAAGGGACCTCTCCCCTTCTCTGCCAGGCTGCTGGCCCTTAGTACACACCCGATTGCCTCTCCACGGTGCTGGGCAGTGTGGTGTAGGGAGGCCCCCGCTCAAATAGCCCCAACCAGCTTTCTTCCATGCACAGCAAGCCTTGCTATTTGCACAGTCAATGGCTCTGGCAAGGCCAAGCCGCTGCTCCTTTCCCAAGAGGCACTGTGGGCACTGTTTGTGTTTCGGTCTCTATAGACTCAGCATTCACACTTGAAGAGGGTGAGACAATGACCCCAGCAGCTGTCTGCAGACTGCCGGCTGGGAGGCTGCTGGGGAGAGTTGGGCCAGCCGGGGTTTGGGCACCCCCCGCACCTGGGTGAGTTCTCAGGCAGCCACAACCAACCCAGTGGGAATGAGGGGGGCATTGGGATGCAGACAGCCTAGTCCAGGCCACCTGATTGGCTGTCACCTGTACCCCTGGCTTCCTTAGCCAAGCTTTCCACCAGCCGCCTAGTCCCTGGGGGCCTAGGAGAAAGAGGAGGGGCCCGGCTCCTGTGGAAGCAGCCGTTTCTCTCCTGAGGGCAGGAAGAGGCAGAGCCCTTGTCCAGGTAGAGGCAAATGGGAAACTTCACCAGGAGCCTGCCCGAGTAGAAGGACACATTGCTTGCAAGGAGATTTTTGAATGTTATTTTATGTGATTGAACAAATGCTTATTGAATATTTACTATGTGCCAAGTATTAAGGGAGGGAGGCAAATCATTATGCTGGATCTTGAGGAGCTCACAGTGTGCCAAGGAAGGAAAGGTCTGCACACAAATAATTGTCCACAGGTTACATGGAAGTACGCGGGACAGACGAGAAATTAACTAGAGCCATCCAACCCCGACAGGGCCATCAGGGAAAGGAACGAGCTTCATCCACAATCATTTAGAGAATTCGGGCAGAGGTTGGAAGCTGTCGATCAGGTCTCAAGAAGGGACCCCTGGTATATGGGGCACAAAGGTATATAGGTGATGGCTGAGATCACCACCCACCTCCAGATCTTCTAACCTTGACTCTCCCTGTTTGCTACTCAGGAAATTCAAGGAAGAGAAAGTTGAGAAGGGAAGTTGAGAGTGTCGGGTTCTCAACTGCTGGCCTTAATTCCACGGTAAATAGAGCTGGCTCTCACACCTTCACCCCCACCAGTCCGCCAGGAGCAGGGTGCCAGGAAGGTTAGGCTAGGGTAAGCCCCAGTCTCCCCTGGAGCTGGAATTTTCCTAATCATGTTAAAATGAGCACTCCCTCTACAAGCAGGGGCAGACCCCTCTGAACTGAGACTTGGTCAGCTCTCTGCACAGCTCTAACTTCTAATCATTGTCATAAACGGGATGGAAGCAGCTGCTCACTCCAGTCTATTATCAGCTTGGTTGGAGACAGAGAAATTTAAATGACAGTAAGATGCTTAGCAAAGAAACGAAAGTCGAAAGTCGGTGTTAAAAATAAAGAAAACAAGACAGCTTGTTTCATTGAAATAGAAGGGTTATTAAACAGCCTTGAATTAATCAGTGATCTGCCAGGGTTGGAAATTGAAGAGCAGCAGGGCCAGGGTAGCTGGGAGAAGATGAGTGGGGGAGAGAAAGACGCCGGCAGGAGCTGCCTGTGCTTTGGGATCAGCTGCAGGGACTATGGAAATGGTCTTCAGAGGAGCAGTGGGTGGCTAGTTTTCTGCCCCACAGAAAACAGCAGGTTAGTTAGGGAGGGGACTTCAGCACCCCAGCCTCTCTGCCTACAAAGTCCTGCTTCTGGACTCTTTCCATCTGCCACCACCAGGGCCACGCCGGGGGCCAGCTCCAGTCCTCAGCCCTTCCCCACCCTACTTCCCACCAGCCAGGTCTGGATGGGAGCCAAAGGGCAGTTGGTGGCTGGCCACAAGCTTCCATTACCAGGCCTTTTCCTCTTTCACAGGGATCCCTAAGGGCTCAACTCAGAGTTGAGCTCCTAATACCCTGCCCTGTTCCCAAAGAGTGTTAATGGTACAGCCCTGAGTGTGGGCAGCATTGCTTCCTGGAGGCAGAGAGGAATCGCTGGAGTAAGTGATCTCTCCTTGGGCATATCAAGTGGTGGCACCTATAGTCCCAGGCTGCAGAGAAGTAGGGTGATATATTTGACTCCAGTAGCCTACATCCAACTCTAGTTCCACATGGGGTACCTTTGACAAAATACTTCATCTCCAGTACACCCGAGTCTTCCCACCTGTGCAATGGTGATGCTAATCTGTCCCTCACAGGCTTGCGTGAGGGGTACATTAATGAGGTAACAGACATGAAATTCTTAGTGAACAGTAAAACTTAGTCACTGCACAAATGTTAGTTTATATTACAGTGGGGTCCCTTGGGACCTCAGAACAAACCATCACAGGAGAAGTTTTGCAGGGGGCGTGGAACGAGTCTGGGAGCAAAGCTGACTTGCTCACACCTTGGCAGGGGGGAGGGGAGGGGACCGGGCCCACATGTCTGGGTGCACATGAGCACCCATCCCGTTCCATCTGCGTGTGCAGCATGCTGGATCTTGATTCAATCATGCCAGGAGCATTTGCTTTGCTCTTTGACCTCAGCATTCTTTCTCCTGAGCCCCCCTCCCTCCTCTGTCCCTCCTGGCTGTTTACCCCTTTCCAGACTCCTCTCTCACACCCCATTCATCACAGAGCCAGATTCTCACTCAGGAAGTTCTTTTCATCTCTCTGCCCCAGGTCTCCATGCTGCTCTGGCCTGCCTGCCTTCCCCCTGCACTCCCTCCAGCACATTCTTCTCCCCGCATCAGCCTCAGATAATTGCTCCCTTCACTCTCCCACTGCAGTGGGGCTGGGGTCCTAGACATCCAGAGTTGATAGGGTCTCAAAAGTCTCTTCTCTGTATGCTCACCCAGGGGCCTATGCCACCCAGGTGTTAAGTGTCCCCCAGATGAGTGGAGTGTGCGTGCATCTTGGCACAGACAAGTCCCTTACGTGGACAGACTTGCGCCCTTGTGCCCAGAAGGCCAACCACTTCGCAGTCTGTACATGTCCCTTTTATCCAGCTCCCCAGCACTTCTGCTGGAGTGTGGGACTATCAGCTCGCCTGTTACTTAAGAGAGGCTGTCTGACAGCTGAGGATCTTTCTGCAAGAGCTCAAAGTTTCAGACAAAGAGAGACAAATAATAGACACTGAAGGTGGGAAGGCACAGGGTAGGGACACAGCCTGCTTAAAAAGCTTCCTCATAAAAAAGGAGTTACAGCTTTTTATTCAGTCTTGGCTGTCAGTTCAGGAAAGCACAGGAGAGAAGGAGAAGCAGGGAAAGATAAAGGAGAGGAATTTCTTCCAGCATGCTGGCCAGACACACAGCTCCAGCCACACCGTCCTCATTGCTTTGCCACCTGGAACGTGGGCTCTTCCCTCACGGGGGGAGCAGGACTGTTAGGAGAGTATGGGTAGAGACCACGGGATGTGGATCTCTAGCCTGTGAAACTTTTCAGCATCTCTTCTTTCTATGGAAATGCTTTCCATTCCTTCTTTGCTGCCCAGGGTTCCTGGATGAACCACCAAGAGCAGGAGAAGTGACCATTTGTTCAATCATCCTCAAGGCTATGAGAGTTGTTGGGTAGTAATCTGGGCAGTATGGGGACAAAGGGACTGGGGAGAGTGGCTACTAGGGACCAGCTGCACCCAGTGCCTTCTTGGTCTCTCCTCGGAGCTGGGAGTTGGGGAATGCAGTGACACAGAATCACCCCTCACCTGGGTGAAACTGGCTCAGCCTCTGTTGCCATCATACAGGACAGCTGTGACTACCAAGGAGATGATGCCCTTGTACAGTGTTTCCCCCCAAAACAGAAACGCGAGTAATTGGTGTTTATTCCGAGCTGTAGAGTTTACAGAAACACTTTCACATCCATTGTCTCGTTGATTCTCACCTCAACCCTGTGAGGTGTCCTTTTATAGCTGGGAAAACAGGTTCTGAAAGGTTAAAAAGCATGATCAAGGTCATTAACGTAAGTGATGGAGTAAGACTGAGCCCAGGTCTGTCTCCAAAGTCCTTAGTCTTTCCTGTGCACCCGCTGCCTGGGTACACGCACCACAGTGAGTCTGACCTTATTGTAGACAAGTCTTGTTCTAAAACCTTTCTGGGGAATCTCACCCTCCTCCACTCTGCTCATAATCACTTCATGTTATTACTTGGCCATTTATTATTATATACTTTTAGGTGATCTATGATGTTATATGATTTGTGGCTTTGGAGCTTTCTTGCCAAAACTTTTCCCACACCAACCTTGGCTGCGTTGGGCATTCCTCAAAGGCAGAGCTGATATCTTCCTATTCTTCTCCATCCATCTTTCCACTTCATCCACCTAGCCAATGATACCGCTCTCTACCCAGTGGATTCGAGAGGAATGCCAAAAGATCAGTTATGACAAATCACTGAGCCAAGCGTGGTCATTCAAACCATGTCTTAGGTCAGGCTAGTAGTTAAGATGATGCAGTGAGTATCCCTGTCTCCCTTTTCTGCTTTCCATGGTTCCACAGACTGAGTGAAAAGCACTGGGCTAGTCCCTGCCCTCTAAGAGCTTCCAATGTAATGGGGGAGCTAGGACCTAGCCACATAACATATGAGAGCACACACTGTAAAGCAGCATGTGCTAAGACAGCAGTTTCTAATTGACTTTGAAGGAGAGATGGGCGATTGGAAGCAGGGAGGTTCTAGAGTCTTCAGGAGGCTTTGAAGAATGGATCGGGTTGAGTAGGCAAAGCAGAAGGTAAAGATAGGTGTTCCGGAGAGGGGACCACAGAGGTGAAATTGTGCAAGGTGTTCTGGGGACTCAACAAATGAGCTGGTGTGTTGGGACTTGGAGAGATAGAGAGGGAAGCTGGACAGACAGAAGAGCCAGCTAGTTTGGGAAGGACATGAACCTGGGTGCTTAGCAGTCCATCCTGGAATCTATCTGGGCCACAGAAGGTGTTTCCCTGGTAGATATCACACTCTGGCCATGTGCACTCTGACCTGCCAAAGGTAGACAAGGGATCTGAGGCGCAAGGAATGAAGCAGTCCAGGCACACGTGGCATGAAATCTACAGCTGCCAATGGCTTTCATTAGGGTGTCTCTCAGCCGAGCATCCCTGTGACAGTCTTACATGGACCATTTTCAGGGAGGCAACACCAGACTTGCTGATCAAGAGGCCCACTCTTTTGAACTTTGGGGAATCCCGACTTCTGGAAATGGACAGTGTTAAAAGATGTACCTTGCTTTGGCACTAAAAGCCACTTTCCCTGATGAGAGGATGAACAGCATGATGGGTTGTGCTCCTTGTCCCTAGATTGTTTCAGTGACCGGCCATGGGAGCCACCGGATGCAGAACAGCACAGGGATTGTAGGGGAAATAGGAAGTGTTCTCACTTGGGGACTCCTGGAGGTCATTACAACTTTTCTTCAAGAGGACAAAGACAGGGAGAGCTTCAGGGAAAAGTAAGTGAGGTTTGGGGCTCGCCCACTGCCTGAGAGCTGAGATGAATGCCTGATGTTTGGTTTGAATTTTCCTCCCCTCCCCCCTTTATTTTCCTCCCTTAACCTCCCACTGCTTGTGGATTGAAGCTGTGTCATTATTCTTTGAAAACATTAGGGTGGTTAATGGCAGCATAATATGCCATTATGTGGAGTAACTGTAATTTATTTAACGATTTAGTTGGGCACTTTCTACCCTGTGGTCTGCTCTCCTGCCGGTTCTGCTTCAGACTCCCTGGCTCTGCCGTGGATAGTAAGGAAGTGAGAAGGCAGGAGATGCATCTCCAGGACCTTTGGAAAGGTCATTGGGAATTTTTCTGAAAGGAGACTGCTAGCTAGCAACCCTCTTGCCATGAAACACCCTTGGATTCCACCTCGTAACACATAACTCAGTCCATACTGCCCACCCCCCTAGCCCTACTCCATTACCAGTATGGGAGCCTCCAGTTTTGACCTTTAAAATAACATACTTGCCAAGTCTTACCTAACATTCTAGTGAGTCTTTCCAGACCAGAGATAAGAGGGTTTGGTTGAACAATAAATACTGAATGTCAGAGCAATGTGCAATAGTGGGGACAGCCTGGGCACCGGGAGGTTTTGTGCTCAGGAGGAATGACACTGGTCCAATTGTCAACCTTCCTGAGACTCTGCTTTCCTACCTGTGACGTGGGGAGAGTAATACTCATCTTGCAAGATGATCACAACATTTTTCTTGCATATGCAGAGAATCTAGCACAGCGCACCATGTAGCAGGTAGTTAATAATAGCTGTCCCATTTTATTTATTATTTTTGTTATAGGACAAAGGCTCTGCATCTCATGGCCCTATGAGCTCTCCTGGCATGAATTTGGACTTGACTTAGCAAAGCCGAATACCCCTACTTTTATTCTTTTGCCTGATTTTGAGGGAGCCTGAGAATTCATTTTCCCGTTCTTTAAATCCCATCATGCCTCCCCATAGCAACCCCCTCCCAGGATGGTTTAAGTGGGGTCCAGCAGAGTCAGGGAAGAAGTGGGGTGACTTTTCTGAGCCCTCTGTAGTACCCAGAGCAGGCTCCCCGCTGGGGTCCACTGCTCCTAACCTGCAGAAATTCTTTCTGCCCCAGGGGTGAGCTGGCCATGGCAAGGCGCCCCTTCTCTCTGGCTGTCCTCTACAGGGGGTTGAAGACAGCAGAGCCCATGGAAAGGGAAGGGGGCAGGGTGGTAGGGAAGGCAGCTGCTTGAAATTGATTGTTCTTGTAGTTTAGTTTATACCCTGGGCTCTCTCAGCACTGCCCGGGTGGCGACCTTTAGATAATAAAGGGAATTCTGGGAGATTTCTGACAGGCCCATGACATATGGGGCAGGTCTGCAGGGTCAGGCATGTATCTCCCTGCTCCTGGCCCCAGGGTAATGAATCTTGTTTTGACTTTGCGAAGCCAACCGGGCCAGTGCCCCCTCCCCTGCACCACCCCTCAAGTGAGTGCGTGTCTTTGGAACCCTTCATAATTCAGGGAGACAACTCCAAACTTTTACAGCCTGTGAGGGGAGAGGACAAACACTAGATGTTTTGCTAAGGCCCTGTGAGAGCCGGTGTGGTTTTCAAAGCTTTATCAGAACCCACTGGAAGATCTGGGGAGGAAAAAGTAACAGAAAACCCTCCCCAGCATGAAAAGGCCGTGGTCCCAGACAGGCCGGAGCAGTAGCTGGGGCGGGACTGGAGGGACAGTGCTCTATGGAAGTCACAAAACATCCTTAAGGTTCTTGGGTCTGAGAAGTGACACGTGGACTCTTCTGGGCAGGAGCAGAAGAACAGGGCAGGGGAGACAAAAAGGCTAGAACCACTCTGTGGGAAAATGCCCAATTCTGATCCCATGGGGATAGAGGCAGGAGAGGCAAAGCAGGCGGGTTCTCGGGCCGTAGTGCTCAGCGGGTGGAAGAGGAAATCTGCGTGCTGCCCTGGTTCTCACAGAGACAGTAAGTGTCTCTAAGTGTCTGGGCCCCGTGGTGGCTCATGCCCACCCCCTCAGCACAAGCACCCATGCTTAGACATGCCTGTGCACACACCTCTTTTCTCTAAAAGAGCAATGCCCGAGCCGGGATGCTAGAGAATGTTACTCCTCCATGCCTTGTTAATCTCTAGGGCTGCTCTAACAAAGTATCACCGACCGGTGGCTTAAATGAGAGAAATGTATTGTCTCACAGTTCTGCAGGCAAGAAGTCAAGGTATCAGCAGGGGCGGCTCCGCCCGAGGGCCAGGAAGGAAGGGTCCATCCCAGACCTCTCTCCTGGGCTTGCAAGTGGCCATCCTCTCCCTGTGTCTCTTCACATCTTCTTCCCTCTGTGACTGTCCGTCTCTATGTCCAAATTTCCTCTTTTACAAAGAAAAGTCACTTGGATTACAGCCCACCCTAATGATTTCATTTTTACTTGATTCCCTCTTTAAACCCGTATCTCCAAAAACACTCACATTCTGAGGTCCTGGAGGTCAGGACTTCCATTTATGAATTGGGGGGAACACATTGGAACCCGTAACACCTGCTCTCTTGCCTTTCGGGCCAGCTCCCAGCGCCTGCATGTCACTCCACGTCTGCCCACTGTGCATCTGAGAAGTGGAGTCCGTTGCTGTCATGGGCCTATGTGGGTTCAAGGGCGGGTTTCCGGAGCAGAGAGCCACACCGGGCTCCAGCCACACCATCCTCACTGCTTTGCCACCTGGAACGTGCTCTTCCCTCACGGTGGAGCAGGACTGTTAGGACTCTCTAAATTTTCTTTTCTCTCTTACTCCTTGGGAGAGAGAGATCTGGTTTACCCACCTGTAAAAGGGATTGCATGTAGAGATACGCAGGAGATCTCTCTTCTCGCGGTGAAAGAAGGTAACGGGATGGAAATGGTCACCAAGAGTTGTGTTGACATGGTCTGGGGGTCCACAGTCTCACCTGGTTCCCCTTCTCAGAGGGAGGGTGCCAAGAGGGCACAGAGGCAGAAGCCCATTTTCTTCCATCTCCCATCACCTTCCTACTCTCTCCCTCTGGGGCGAAGGACAACCACTCAGCTTCACGTAACAGCACAGAGTCTGGGGGGAAAATGACATTCGATGAATGAAGCAAACACAGCTGGTATAGCAGTGACATCTAAACCTTCCTTTGGTTCCTGTTATTTTCTGTAGGAAATTCTCCTCTCCCCAGCCCACCCTCTCTTCCCTTTAAATCGTGTGCATAAAATACGCTAATAACAATCTTCGGTGTCTGTGCATGAGTGACAGCTGAAATAAGAAAAAGACTAATCGTACCTCCTGCAGCCCTGTCACATGGAGATTAAATGAGTCTCTCCCTCTCCCCGCTCCCCACCTCTCTCCCCCACCCGCTCCTCTCTCTCATGGTCTCTTCTCAGTGAGCATCGTGGCCATTTGAATAATAATATTATAGACGCCATCAGGGTGACAGTGGGGAAAAATCAGCTCAAACCCATGATTATTCCTTCAATCTAATAATTATTTAAATACCAGATAACTCCTTTCACTCTAATTGAGGCCTTTCAGCTGCTGGCATTCCCCGGGGCCTTTGCGTTCGGTTTGCCCTCTCGCTCACCTTGTGCTACCAACGTGCCTGGACTACCTCTGAGGTCGGTGTTAGACAGTGACGCTTGGAATGTTTGCCTGTACAACCACGCAAATGACATTATGTCAGGTCCTTCGGGGTCATTCCACCCACAGGGGACAAGCTGGGCCCCGTAATCTCTCGTTTAGACATTTTATCCTCACAGGCATCTTAAAGCAAAAGACGCCTTCTGAAGTCATTGGGACCAATCCTCTGCCTTTGGGTAAACTTACTCCTAGACACCTGTCTGGAACATTCTCTGTCGGAAAATTCCATAATCTGCTTGGCAGTCTGCCCCGGGGATCCTCTCCAGGACGTCCCCCTTAATATCTGACTTTAGTCCCTTCTGCTGCAGTTCTAACTCTTTGGGGAGAAGGGGCTTCCTGTGCTTAGCCTCCATCTGACCCGTCTGTGGCGCCGCCTATAACCCAAAGGGATGAGGCACAGGACACCGTAGCTCCCAAGGCGCAGCGTATGTTTCATTCCTGCACATGCTTTCTGCCTGGGCCTAGAGTACATCGTGAGAGGTCATTCTCCCCAACACAGAGGGAGCCAATGGGGAGAGTCTCCTTCCCTCCTTCTGCCCCTTAATTCTGCATGCACCTCTTTAGTTTTGCCCTGTCCCTGTGCACTGCTTCCCCATCCAGGCCTGGAGCCAGGCTCACTTCTGCCCATCACGGGGCCACTGCCTCTCAAGGCACCTTCTTTCCCCCCCGCAGGCAGCCTTGAGGCAGAACATCACTGACTGTCAGGATCCTTTTGCCTGTGACTAAGGAAGCATGAGACTTTCTGCTGTGTTCCATTGCAGCCTGTCCCTGACTCATTTTGGGTTAGCTTGGACAATTTGTTTCCTTTCCATAGGTTTTTGTTTCTTCATCTAAAAACAGGTCATGAATGGGAGTAATCTTATAATCTCAGCACTGGCCCTGAATTGCTGCTTTAACGACACTACTAATTGGAAAGGAGAGCTGCAGGAGAGGATGGACTTCCCGCTGCCCTGGGAGAGGGAGGAGCGTGGGGAGAATTTCTAGTGCAGCTGCTCACTCCCTCCGTGACTTCACAGCCCTCACCACTGTGCCTGCTTTTACTCTGTCACCATCTGGCTCCTTGGCATCCGGGCTGTGTGAGCCACTTAGTAGGTGCAGTCATAATAGGTTCCGGTTGCTGTTGTTGTTGTGAAAAGTATCCTAACCAGGGTGGTGCTGGTGATGAAGGTGGTGATGGCAATGGCAGAATGGAGATAGTGCCGATGGTGGAGCTACAGGTGGGCCCAAGGTTGTTCGATCTACTATCATCAACTTTGACTCAGTTGGCCAAATCATATCCGGACTCCATCTCCTCTTCCTACCAGCTCCTTTTGCAATAAGAAAAGCCAAGTGGAATCATGTGTGCCTGCATATCTGAAGAACGCTGTAGAGCACATCAGCAGGGTGGAGAGAATCCTGCACTGAGCTGAACTGGAAATGCCTGATTGTCATTTCCTCCCTGCTTTGCCACTGACACCCACAGCAGCTGGTCGGGAAGGTATTCGATGCCTCCACTAGCTGTCACCCACACCTGCCTCCTGAATCCTGATCGGGAGATGGTGTCACCATGCCCTCCAAATAAAATATTTAGTGACACTGCTTCCCAAACAGACATGTGTGGCCTCTGCTTGGCATCGAAAGAGCTTGGAGTAAGATGTCCTGGGAGGCTGCTCTGATAGGGTACGTATCCCAGAGTCGCATGTCCTAGTTTGAGACGCGGGGTGAGAGAGAGGGAAGCTGGTAAGAGAATGGCAACTAGGCACTCTTGAGAATGTATGTGACAAAGTGACTTCACAAACTAGACAGAAAGAGGAGAAGTGGCAGAAAAACAGAGGCATCTTTAAATGGAAACTCCTGAGGCTGACAGCAGCAGAGAATCGGAGTTTGGAGAAAATGATGGGTATGCAAGGTCATAGGCATTTGTTCACTGGCTTCTAGCAAATCGAGGGCGGGTAATTCATTCTAAGACAGATCATGGAATGGATGGAAATGAAGAGCAAGAAATATCGACAAATAAATTACTACTAATAAAGACTATCCATGGTAAACACTTAAAATGGGCCAGGCATTGTTTTAAGTGCTTTATATGTATTAAGTGACTTCTCCATAATAATCCTATGAGGCAGATGCTTGTACTAATCCCATTTTATGTAGATAGATAGCATCACAGTGTGGTTAAGGACCTTGACCAATTTTACACAGCTCTCCAAGCATCTAAGTTCAGAGTCGAAGCATTTAACCATTGCACTACCCAGTTTTTCATCAGAGGTGCAAAGATGGGTGCTTGTCCCCACCAAGGGTGTTTCTCTGAACTCGGATGGGAGACTTGATCCTTGCTAGCTGGGCCCTGCTTTGGAACAGCTACTTAGTTACGTCAGCCTTGGCATGGAAAGGCAAAAACTCTCAACTCGCTGTTGAAGTCAATTGTCCTTGTGAAAGCCACACTCCTAAGATAGAGTGTGAGCCTTCCCTGCCACCCCTGCACTGCAGGAGACCATGCTGCCTCTTGACTCCACTTTGCCAGCGCCTGCTACTCCCAGATGGGCGGCCCTTGAGCCCCATGGAATGAATTTGCTTGGCTGGTCACCAAAAGCTGTCTGTCTCAAAGTGGATGTTGATTGAGAAGTAAGAGGCAAACAGCCCAACTGTAGTGGTCTGTTGAGAATTCCTGACCTAACCAGGCAGCATGGAAGAACTTCAGCATCTATGTCAGCCACGGACTTTAGAAGCTGAAGGAAGCAAGCCTCAAGGTGTTATTTCATCTGAAAGAAGAAATCTCACAAACTGGCTAATTCAAACACCCTTTGTTTTAAAATCAAGAAATAGGCTCAGGGAAATGCCAGCCTAGTCTACAGCCATATGACTCATGGCTGACAGAGGCAGAATTTGAATCAAAGTCTCCTAAGTCTCTCACTCTTCCTCCTGCCCCATGACTTCATGCCTTCTAGCAACCAGACCAATTTTCCAATTCATAGTTCAACCCTCAAGATCCTTCACCTCTGCCATGTTCCCTGCAGGTGGCGGAGAGACTATGTTGGGGCTTGTGCAGTAGTAGGATAGGGAAGATCGCCTCAGATCTATTCTCTTTCCTTTGACACATGCTTCCCAAATTGAACCCCTTCACTCGGTCAGGGAAAGCTGGGGATCAAAGCTCTTCCCACAATATTCATTCCCAAGAAAAGGAAGAATATGAGAAAAAAGAGAAGTCAAGAGCTCTGGCAAGATTCCTGAAGTGCAGTTTCCTGGGGAAGTATCAATGAAAATAGTAACAAGCAGAAGCTGAGCATTCACTCTGCGCCAGCCACCAGGCTAAGAGGTTTCCCTGCATTATCTCATTCACTCTCATGACAACCAGAGAGGTCGGTACTGCAATTATCCCCGTCCTACCAAAAAGGGAGATGAGACTTGACTTGCACACAGTCCCAAATTTATTTCGAAACTCTGCCAAACAATAAAGCCACTTACTAATCAAACTAATCTCAGGGGGATGTTGGGTAGGGAGGTAAGGTGGTTGATCTTAACCTCACCTTGTGTCCTTTGATGTTATCTCTGCTACCAGGACCTTCTTCCTATAGCCACAGGCTAAACATATAAATGCTTATATTTTGTGGAGAAGGCAGGAGTGTGCTGCCCGCAAATGCAGTGCCAGGGTCTCCGAGCGCACTTTCTACAAGGCAAAGCCCAAGCACAGCGTGGTGATAATTATGTTCCTCCCCGTGGCTCTTTGTGGGACATACTGCCCTCCACCAGCTGAGCCAGGGGCATGCCCAGAATGGTCTCTTGTCGTTCCCTATTCAGCTGGGGAATGTAAGGATTCTGTTATTTCCTTTTTGCAGCTCCTTATGAGGAATTCATGTCCTGCTACCGGCCCCAGGACATAGCTAAAAATAACTTGCTTTCAAACCGAAAGCTCTGTCTGTCTGTCTGTCAAGGCTTTGCGGTGGATGCGGGCGTGGGGCCGGAAGGGCCGTGCTGGAGTCCCAGAGGTCAGCCAGGGCCCTGTGCTGTTGCTTTCCTCTTTCCAAGGAAGCCTGGGCTTCTGAGTCACCTCAGTCCTTCCGGTGCAGCCTGGTTGGAGGGGAGCTGTCAGGTGGGGCCTGCCTCTGGCACTCAGAGTTGAAGTGGAGGAAAGAGAGTTTCTAAAGATACAGAGCCAAAAAACAGTGTGGAGTCCCACAGTGGCGTCTGTTCTGATTCTAACCCTGTCCAGCCCGACTGGAGGGTAGAAGGAGACAGGGCCCTGCTAAGCTGCCTTGGAGCCAGTTCTCCATCCTTGGGCAGGGTGTGTCCACCCCTGTTGCCTTGCTGCCCAGAGCTGTCTGGACTTGCCAAAGAAAGGTGCCGGGCAATTTGTCTTGCAGGAGAAAAGATTTTTCAGCTAGATGGCTCTCAGTCTCCTCCTGCTACTGCTACCTGCTGCCGCCACCGTCCCTTTCCTCACAAGTCAGGAGCGGTGCTCTCAGAGGAAGGAAACAGGCTCCGTTGGCCCTATCACACCCTTGGCCCGGTCTCCACAGGAGCCCCACTTTGCTCCTCTGGGCAGCTTTCTTGGAAAACAGAAAAGCCTTAGGGCCTGGGCATCTGAAGGGGGGTAGGGAAGGAGCAAAGAAATTGGGGCAGGAGACCAGGCTGGGCAGGGCAGAGAAGGACGAGGTGGGTGGGGGCAGGGCAGGGAGGTGACTTCATGGAGCTTAAGTGATCGCTAGGCTCCAGCAGTAGCTGGAGAGACAGACCCTCAACATGCCTCTCCCCACAATTACTAAACCCGGAACTTGTGTCCAGGTGACTGAAGGTGGACTCAGATGGCCAGTCCCCCTTGGTGGGAGGCCAGCCCCACCTGCTGAGAAGCAGAAGTTGAAGCAATGTCCCTAGGACCTGGCGGCCTCCTCCCTGGGAAGCAGTGACTGGCATCCTCCCGTCCCAGGGAAGAGTGGGCGGGGGGGTGTCTGCCCATCTCCCTGGGGCTGTTCAGGCTTCTGAATGGCACACCCCGCCATCCCAGCCCTATTGGCCACAGTGTGGCTCTTTTTTAACAAGTTGTAATGGCTAACACCAGTGATCCTTCCTCTTGGAGAGGGTGAGGCTGAGTCCTTTCCTGTGGAGGACAGAGCTTGAGAAAGTAAGGAAACGCAGCTATGTAAGAGGACAGCATTTTGGGGGGGGAAAAAGGAATTTTATTTGCAGTATCAGAGTCTGGGAGTGGTTTTAAAAAACAGGAGATTTTCATTGGACTGGGAGAGGACAGAAGCGACTCCTGGGTAGGAAAGACTTGCCTTACTCCAGATCAGGGGATTGACTGGCAGGGTGAACTTAAACAGTCTTTTAACCTCTCTGAGAGAGAAAAACAATGTTTTAAGAGGACAGAAATAGAGATGCTTCGCAAAATAAAAAAGGGGAATTTACAGTGTAAGGCTGGAGACAAAAATAGATAATAGGATTCCTTGAACAACTCCAAGAGGGAGAAAGTGTGTTAAAAATAGAAAAATTGAAATATAGAAGGAAGAGGCTCACCGAGCTAGCCAGGCTGGGGACTCCGGGTCAAGCAATTCAATTCACTCCTCTCAGGACTCCTTTCCGTCTGACCTCCCTGCCTTGTATTTTCCAGAACCATGTGAGGGCCAACCCAGGAAGGTGGTGTGGATGAGCACTCGGAGGATCTGCCTCCTCGTCTTTGCCCCTCTCAGCATGGAACAGAGGAGGCCCTGGCCATGGGCCACAGAGGTTGACAGCTGGTCCGTGGTCTTGCTCTCAGTGGTCTGGGTGCTGCTGGCCCACCCAGCAGCTGGCATGCCTCAGTTTAGCACCTTCCACTCTGAGAACCGAGACTGGACCTTCAACCACTTAACCGTCCACCGAGGAACAGGGTCAGTGTACGTGGGAGCCATCAACCGCGTCTACAAGCTGACAGGCAACCTGACCATCCAGGTGGCTCACAAGACTGGGCCGGAAGAGGACAACAAGTCTTGTTACCCACCCCTCATTGTGCAGCCCTGCAGCGAGGTCCTTACCCTCACCAACAACGTCAACAAGCTGCTCATTATTGATTACCCTGAGAACCGCCTGCTGGCCTGTGGGAGCCTCTACCAGGGAGTCTGCAAGCTGCTGCGGCTGGATGACCTCTTCATCCTGGTGGAGCCATCCCACAAGAAGGAACACTACCTGTCCAGCGTTAATAAGACGGGGACAATGTATGGGGTGATTGTGCGCTCTGAGGGGCAGGATGGCAAGCTCTTCATTGGCACTGCTGTGGATGGAAAGCAGGATTACTTTCCCACTTTGTCCAGCAGGAAGCTGCCCCGTGACCCCGAGTCCTCCGCCATGCTTGACTATGAGCTACACAGTGATTTTGTCTCCTCCCTCATCAAGATCCCCTCGGACACCCTGGCTCTGGTCTCCCATTTTGACATCTTCTACATCTATGGCTTTGCCAGCGGGGGCTTTGTCTACTTCCTCACTGTTCAGCCTGAGACCCCGGAGGGTGTGGCCATCAACTCGGCTGGAGACCTTTTCTACACTTCGCGCATCGTGAGGCTCTGCAAGGATGACCCCAAGTTCCACTCCTATGTGTCCCTGCCTTTTGGTTGCACCCGGGCTGGGGTGGAGTACCGCCTCCTGCAGGCTGCTTACCTGGCCAAGCCTGGGGACTCCCTGGCCCAGGCCTTCAATATCAGCAGCCAGGACGACGTGCTCTTTGCCATCTTCTCCAAAGGGCAGAAGCAGTACCACCACCCACCTGATGACTCTGCCCTCTGTGCCTTCCCCATCCGAGCCATCAACTTACAGATCAAGTACCGCCTGCAGTCCTGCTACCAGGGCGAGGGCAACCTGGAGCTCAACTGGCTGCTGGGGAAGGATGTCCAGTGTACCAAGGCGGTAAGGAGGTGCTCGCTTCACTCTACTCCTGATCTAGAGTCCAGGCTCCAAGTCTCCGTCTTGTGCCCTATTGTACACCCTGTTCCTGGACCACCAGTGGCCTGAATGAAATAAGAGAGGTTTTCAGGTTCATGTTATCAGGTGGTAACCAATAACACAGAGTCTGACATACAACAGACACTAGGGCGTGTTTGTTGATCCACTGAGTCATTCCAAATATAGTGGACCCTTGAACAATGAGGGTCAGGTTACTGACCCCCTGTGTAGACAAAAATCCACTTACAACTCTTGACTCCCCCAGAACTTAATTAATAGCCTGCTGTTGATTGGAAGCCTTACCCCTAACATAAATAGTCAATTAACATCTATTTTGTGTGTTATATTTACTACATACTGTATTCTTACAACAAAGTAAGCTAGAGAAATGTTACTAAGAAAAGCATAAGGAAGAGAAAATACAATTACAGTATTTATTGAAAACAACTATGTGTAAGTAGACCTGCACAATTCAAATCTGTGTTGTTCAGGATTTAACATGCATATATTAAGTGCCTACACCACACCAGGCACTGCTAACTTCAGTGGTGACCCCCACAACAAAGCCCCTCCACCCTCATGGAGCTTTCATTAGTGAAGCAAAACAAATAAATACATAAAATATGTAGCTTCTCAAATGGTGATGATTGCTGCAGAGAAAAATAAAACAGAGAAAGGGAAGAGGCAGTACCTGACAGGGTTGATTCAGTGAGAAAGTGGCCTTTGGACAAAGACTGAGGAAGGTAAAGAAGTGAGCCATGTGGGGACCTGGGGAGCACATTCCATAGAGAGGGAGCAGCAGGTGCAAAGATTTCAGGACATGCCTGGTATGTGTGAGGAGCAGCAAGGAGGCACCTGCAGCTGGACTGGAGCCTGTGGGAGAAAGAGAGGGAGGAGATGAGGCCAGTCCGAGGCAACAGGGATCAGACAGTGTCCATGTAGGGCCTTCTAGGCCACTGTGAAGCCAAGTTGGGGTGTTGAGTAGGCAGGTTGTTAGGGAAGCTGGAAGAGACGGAAGGGAGTTAAGTTGACTGGTCGATTACAAACTGGGGAAACATAATCAGGTGTTTGGGTAAAGGCAAAAGAGAAGAGGAAAGGGAACTCAGGATCCAGAGCAGAGGACAGTAGAGATAAGAAAATCAGTGGTGAGCAATGTCCTGTTGGAAGGTCAAGTTGCTGTCATCTAAGTGGTCACCATGACACACCCATCCAGCATCCATCCATCCATCCATCCATCCATCCATCATCCATCATCCATCTGTCTACTCACCCCTTCATCCGTGTATTCATCCATCTCTCCCATTTGTTACCATCTACCAGCCTATTCCTCCATCTATTTAAAAAGAGAGTATCAAAGATCTTCCATGTGCCCAGCCCTGTACCAGATTCAAACAAAAAGACAAGATCACTACTCTCACATATTTCCATAAACTAGTTGAGGGGGTGGAATAAGAGAGAGAAATATCTCACAGTGTAATATAGTTTGGGCTTTAGAGACAAAGACCACAGTTCCAATTTCATCCATGCTGCTTCCTGGCTTCAGAAGTAATTAACATTTTTATTTCTACATTACCATCTGTGAAATGGGAGTTATAATGCCTACCTTATGGGATGACCAAGTTAGATAATATATGAGCAGATTCGAACCATGCCTGGACTGTGAGGTGTACCATTATTAGCTAACTGTTGAGCCACATGAAGGATGTTAAGGAAGATTTCTGTGCATAGTGTTGTTGACTCTGGATCTGCAGCCTGGAAAAATATCTGAGATGAAGCGACCCATATGGCTGCCTTCTGAGTACCCGAAACTACAAGTGCCTGCTATTGGGACCAAAAACAATTCTTAAAGCAAGAAAGCAGATGCCTCTTTCTTCTATGCTTCTGGTTCCAGTATCATTTGCTTGGTATGATAGGATATTGGTTAAGGCTATAGGCTTTGAAGTCCAACAGATTTGTATTTAAAGATCAGCTCTACCTCTTAAAACTGTATGACTTTGCACAAGTTGTATACCTGGTCTAAGCTATAATTTTCATCTTTAAAATAGAGCTAATAGCTAATAGTACCCTGTTTATGGTTCTTATGAAGATCAAATAGAAAAATGTATATAAAATGCTTAGCATAATACTCGGCACATAATAAGCATTCAATAAATTGCAGCTATAATTATTAATATTAATCACAATAACAAGCAGCTGTTTGCTGTTATTTCGCTTTTGTAAAATGAAGAGGTGGAACTAGATAATCTCCAAAGTTTTTTATGGCACTAAAATTCTATAACCTGTGGCTCCAACCAATCAGGAGAAGCCCAGAGGAAAGGAAAGGGTTAACCCCCTGGCAGAGTCCTGACTGGTTCCTATTGCCCAGAGGGGAGCTTGTCAGGAGGAAACTGCTGATTCCTGCCTGCTCCTGAGCCAGAGAGAAGAGGAAGCTGACACCCTTCTCTGGCTCCAGTGACTTGCAGAGAGACAAGCCTGGGCTAATGACCAAAGAGCAGCAAAAGCCCTGGGAGAGAGGTGACAGCAGGTGAGACCAGGACCTCAGAGAAAACAGCCCCTCATCACCGTCCCCCACCTTCCTTCCCTCAGCATCACACTCTTCCAGTGCAGCCTTTACCCAGTGAGAAGGGGTGTATAGGAGGGGCCCCTCATAATTCAAGGAGTCCCAGATAAGGATCCTGAAGCATTTGGTGGCCTCAGACAGGGCTAAGGGTTGGTGAGAGAAGCCGTGGTCCCAGGGCTTAATTTTGACATGAGCTTTGGACAGACATGGAACACTCAAATGAAGGATTTAAACTTTCCTAAAAGGAAGTAGGAAGGGGGCTATCATTCATTAAATAGCAGCTATGTATTAAAGACTTTTCTGGAAATTTATTTTGGTTTTATTGTTCATGCTATTATAGATGTCCCTCGATCCTCAGTATGACTCTATGAAGCAAGGATTATCACCCCCATTTGACAGATGGAAAAACAAAGGCTCATAAAACTATGTAGCTTAAATCCACACAAATATAAATGATAAAACAAGGATTTGAATTCAGTTTGGCCCATATGACTTCTGAGTCTGTCGCCAGTGAGGACAAAAACATCACCAGGTTTTAACAGAGAATTAAATGAGACCTTGGTTCAGCAACCTCGGTACTTGAGTTTTGGCAAAGAAAGAATTCAGAGTTGAAGCTCAAACTGTAAGAGAAAGTTTATTTAGAAAGTCACAGAGGTAGAAGAAGTCAGCTGTAGAAGAACTGGGCTCAGGAAACAAGTTTCAGAGGCAAAAGAAGGGCTCTTGGAGCCAGAGGGAGAGAGAGGCAAAGAAAATGGGGCTAGAGTAAAGGGGGGAAGAAAGGTAAGGGTGTGATCCCTGGCCCTGGGTCCTCCATCTTGAGGATATTTATCTGGGGGTTTCAGGGGAAGATCCCTCTAGAATATTCATCATCTTTCCAGGTGTGTCTCAAGGGCCATGGTCTGTACTTATTGGTTGGTGCCAGGGCAAGGGGTCCTTAGTCAATACAATTGGTCCTAATGTCAGCCATGGTGTGGCTTATCTAATTTTGCTGCTTTTCTGGGCCTTGGGGCTTAATGCTTAAGGGCTATCTATTCTCTATCCCCCTTGTTTGTTCTCCCTCTAAAGAAAGTCTAACCTGCATGACTAGCAACATGCTAGGGGCAAAAAGGTCAGGAGAGGGTCCAAACTGCATGGCCAGTAATATGAAAGGTCAGGGGGTCTAAACTATATGACTAGTGACATGCGAGGGGAGGAAAGATTACACTGGGGGAGAGGTCCTTGTTTTCCCAGTTTTGTCCCTTGCTAGGCACCCGGGGCTTTCTGCCCGGGTGACCTTCTGTACCTGACTATTGTCCTGCTCTGCTCACGTATGTCTAACTGCCTACCACAATTCTGAGTTATTTCTGTCTAGCCACGCTGCTTTAAGGAGAGCCGTACTCCAAGATCTCATCATTTGAGGAAAAGTGAAGTGGCATCAGGTGTTTGGGAGCATCTGACAATTTAGAGGAGAGAGAAAAATGTCAGCCAGTCCCAAGAGCTTAGGCTCAGAACAAACTATTTTCTTCATGGACTGGCATTTCCAGTTTCAGGAGAGATGTAGAGAAATCCAAAATCACCAGCAGATTTTTGCTTCTGTCATCATTTCTCAGCATCTGGCTTGGTCTATCCCTGTGCCCAGACTCTGCAGCCTTATTGGCCCCAGGAGAAAGTGGGAAATAAACTGCAACCATGAAATTGAGGACTCTCAGAGCTGAAAGGAAACTTGATGATAACCTGGTCCAACCCTTTCACGTCACAGATGAGAAAACTAAGGCTCAGAGGGGGTATGTGACAGAGGCCACGTCGTTAGATGGTCCTAGAGACAGGACTACATCTTCTGAGTCTTCCAGGGGACCTGCTGCCTGTGGTACAGGGATAAGAAAGACAAGAAAAAAATGCAAAAGGTGGTAATTTCTCCTCTGCTCTGTCTTCCTAGGGAACAAAAACTTTCCACATTGGCTACAGTGATGTGCTGGTAAATATTAAACAGCTAGCTCTATGCAGGCCACGGTGGTGGTAGTGGTGGTGGGAGCCTTGACTAGAAGCATTTGCTAATTTCCATGATGTAAATGCTCCCATCGTCGCTGATTTCATACCACCAGTGTGATGTCACTGAATGTGGAGGTGTACAGTCATCCCTCATGAGCTTTACTCCCTTCCTGAGAAGCTCATTTCTTCTGGAGTGAGGGGTGTGTTTAGGCGTAGTGATGACTTCATCTTACCAGAGTTCACAGAGTTCCAGGTCATCCTTAACCTAAAAGTTAGTTCTCTTTCTTAGAGAATACACATATGTATAAACTCAGACACACAAGGGCAACACCTCTATTCCTACCAGTAGCAGGAGATCAGCTCTCTACAAAACACCAAGGGATCACAAGATACAAGTCTCTGATCCCGTGGACCTCAGAGAGGAATGGAAGGGAAGACCCTGGCTTAACAATTATGTGCCCTAGTTTATAAACCAGTTATTCCAAGGAAATGAGGCTGTTGACAAGTGATGCACCAGCCAGCTCTTTCCTGGTACGTGTGAAAGGAGGAGGTTGAAGGGAATAGGTTGCAGGTTTCTTCTCCATGACGCTTTCTCTGCTAGAACAGTCATTTCCTTCCTTCTCTGGGATGCCTTTCCAGACACAGAAGAAACATGACTCAGGGCTCTTTCTAGCCCAGAGTCTGCAGCCTTTGCCCACAAGATTCCAGTTGCATAGTCAGCTGGGGCATTTCAGAGGACCCATCATAGCCCTGCCCCACAGTAGGCACTCTACAGAGAACACAGCCTTTTACCAGCCCCTGTTCTCAGGAAGCATAGTCTTTTATTTATTTAACTGCATGAGATGTTAGAAATAATTAATTTAATGTACCCCCAGCAATAGCCCCCAAACAGGATGTTACTGGTCCAATTTATGCTTAGAGATACTTAGCAGTAAAGGAGAAGCTGGAATCCAAGCCTCTCTACTTTATGTCCAGCTATTTTTTCATTTGTGTAAGGTGGTCTTCTTTCGAAAGTGTCCTAGTCTCTCCTGAAAGATACTCTTTACACAGAGGCACACCTCCACTCTCTTCAAAAGTCTGGTAATAGGAAGAACATCGCCTGAGCATGGCTGAAGACCTGTACCATACAATAGTGGAAATCATTATATAACTTAAAACTCTCTTGCATGTATTATTTCATTTGCTCCTCAGTGATTCTCTCAGAAAGGTGGGCAGGTAGTTTGACAAGTGAAGAAACTGAGGTTTATATACATTAAGTAAATTTTTCAAAGTATAAGTTTCTGTTCAATATTAGGATGACCCTTTTCAACCTATCCCTAGTATAGAATGTGGTGAATAGTTGGCTTAAAAGTCTGGATGCCCAAAGGAAGGCCTTGCATCCCAAGAAATAAGAAATTCTCTCCAGGCTATAGAAGCGCTGGGATGCTGTCTCTAGACTGAATCTCTACTGTCTAAATAGAAAGATCTCCACAAAATGGCATGGTCTACGGGGACATTAAAATGATCAGAACATGAATTTAAGCAACCAGCTTTATAAATGACCCCTGGATCTCTTGACAGAAAGTGAATGGGTACGCGAGGGAGGCTGCTTGTTCCTCTCTCAGGCTTCACAGGGTCCTCTGTGGGCTTCGTGGATCAGATGGAGAGATGTGGTTTGCAGCATGTGTAAGGACCCTGCACCCATGTCACACTTCTCTGAAGCCTAATGTCCCAGGGTTGGCGGTTACGGGTGAGCTAGCTATAGATTGACCGCCATGACCCTGCTGCTGTTCATCCCGACTTCCTCTTCTTCCTTCCAGCCGGTGCCCATTGATGACAACTTCTGTGGATTAGACATCAACCAGCCACTTGGAGGCTCCACTCCAGTGGAGGGCCTGACCCTATACACCACCAGCCGGGACCGCATGACGTCAGTGGCCTCCTACGTTTACAATGGCTACAGCGTGGTTTTTGTGGGGACTAAGAGTGGCAAGCTGAAAAAGGTAAGAGTCCGTGAGTCCCAGTGCACGGATGCCCTTCAGCTCCTCAGCTGGGAGCCCGTTCTGGAAGGTAACTATTGGTGGAGTTTTAACTGCAGGCAACTCCAATTTTCTTAATTTTCTTGGTGGAAGGGGTAGGATAGCAGAGTAGGAAGGGATTAATTTTGTGGCTTCTCTTCTTGCTCTTTCCCCCAAGTATTTGTCAATGAGTGGTCAAAGGAAATACAAAAATATTTCAGTGTCACCCACACTTCAAGGAAATAAGAAGGCACATCTGCTGCCTAAGGGAGAAAAGTACTTCACTCTTTATCTCCAAGTCAAATAGAAACAACTTGATTTTTGATTCTCTGTTATAAATCCCAAACATCACAACTTTCTCCCCATAGCCTGGAGAGTTGATTGTGCCAGTCAAAAGTCTTTGCGGAGTGCAAAGCAGTTGGTTGAAGCAGATTATGGGTCTCCATTCTAAGACCGTAGGCAAACAGTGGGGCTGCTCTCTGGGGGTGTATGATGCCTGGCTAAGAAGCCATGCTTCTGTCTTTCCTATTCCTACAAGTACAATGTCTTCCCCATTCCAGCCCCAACACCTGAGCTTCCTGGAGGAAGTAGATATCTTACCCACGCCTTCCCTGGGCCCCTCTGCCAGCTGGAAGGCATGGGCTGTCTGGGCGGGCAGCACGGGCAGCCTCTTGTACTGCAGGCTGAAGCCAGTAGCTTGTACCTGCTTGTCTAGTGCTTAGGATGTGGAGACGGAGCACAGTCTGATTCATTATGTCGGATTACAGCGGCCACATTCTTTCCGGTCCCAGCTAATCCCCTTTTCCCAAGCCTACCCTTCTGCTACCTTTCCCCAGTCCCTCCACCTGTGGATCAAAGCACAGGCAAGACCTCACCCCATCTCACACTTGAGGTTGACATCACCCCTGTAGCTCTTTCCTCCTAATCTAGTTAGAGCCTGGGAGAGAAGTTGTTTGGGATGTGGAAGAAGGAGGGCAGAGAGGGAGCCTGAGGAAGAGTTTCCATCATCTGCTCACTCTGAGTTGCTGCCAGAGGAGGCCAGAAGAACTGGCCTGGGTTTATGAGAAGGTGCTGATCCCTCCAGACCTCTTCTGCTTCTCATGACAGCAATGCCCATTAACCCTTTTCTCACTTGGTGGTGAGGTGGCTACCTTTTCCTGGGCTGGGTCGTCTACTCTGCCTGGGACTGGGGGCCCTGGCTTGGCTTTTACGTGCATGAAAGAGAGGATGAGTGTGGTCTCTGCATTTGCTTTCCCAAAATGCAGGAGAAAAGGAGCTGCCCTTTGAGATTTCACTAAGATTTTAAAGTGGCATATTCTGCCAGGATGGAACTCTGAGGTTGGCCACTTCCCTGCTCAGCAGGCTTTCCTGTACAGCTGGGTAGAACAGTCCTTGCATGGGGGCCTTGGGCCAAGGGGCCTATGGGAGCTGAACTCCAGCCTCAGCTCTCCTTGTCCAGGCACGTACCCTGGGGTATAAACATTCAGCCAGAAGGGCCCTTTTTACTAATTTTTCTGCCTATAGAGACCACCTTTCACTACACTACACAAAGGCTTTCTGGGGACCAGCAGTAGCCATAGGTGTTCTGGGTCATTCATATAACTCTGTCTCTTTTATTCTCTTGAAAGTTTTATTAAAAGCAGGGTCCATGCCTTTTTCTTATTCACGTCCTTCATTCTACCTAATTTTTCCACTGTGTGGCTACACATGGGCTAGGACTCCAAAATGTTTTGAAAAATAGAACCACTCTCAAAGGAAGCTTAGAGATCATCTGGCACAATGTTCTCATTATTCAGCAGGGAAACTGAGGCCCAAAGAAGAAGAGTGGCTTGTCCCAGCCTAGAGACTGAGGCAGGTTGCTTCTTGCCCTGACACCCAGTTTGACACCATTTTTACTTAAAGAAGCAGACACAGAACACAGGGATGGATGCTGAGAACAGTCTTTGGATCCAGGCTTCATAAAGAGTTTGCCAGGGGCTAGTGCTTCCACTCCTTTTGGCCTGAGATCTCAGTTAAGGAGTTAATGTTTGCTGAATGGGTGGATGAAGACTGAATAGAGGAGGAATAACCCAGCCGGACTCAAAGGGACCCTATGATGACCTTTCCCATATCTCTGTGCATCTTGCACAGCACACTCAGGGGCTACTTGGGGCATCTTTCCAAGCCGCACACCCAAGCAGGGAAAGTTCTCCAAACCCTGGCAGACCATTCACTATGGAGGCAAGTTCGTGGGTTCGAGGGCAAGGCTGGGAGCATGGCTACCCACAGCTTGTTCCAACCTGCAAGTTGGCAGCTCCTTCTCACTCTTCACTTTGCCTTTCTTGGACTGTTTCTATGAGCTCCTAGTATCCCCTTTTCTTCTCTGGGCAACTCACCCTTCCTTTCCACCCACACTTCTTTGAGGCACCTGGTATTCACACCCAGTTCCTGCTGGCCTCCCACTTACCACCCATCCCACTCCAGAGAAATGGCCTGTGAGGAATTTATGGAATGTCCCCAGGAAACCCGTCCATGGTCCAGGCCCCATGGCTCTTTCAACACAGGAAGGAAAATGAAGTAAAAAAATAGCTAAGAGTGTAGAGAGGGGAGGGAAGCAGGCTGTGTCAGACGACGCACTTGTTCCCTGCCTGACCAGGCGTCTGTCAGACTGCCCAGCCCCCGTCCATTGCAGCCCACAGGAATAGGGTGTCCCTGAGTGGAGAAGTTTAGAGGAAGCAGAGACTCATGAGGAGTGCATGACCATGAGGTGCTGTTATTCGCTATGTCACGTACTCGCTCATAGACTGTTCAAGGCCACAGCCTTCTAAGCCACCAACATGCAAAAGACACAGGCTGTAAAAGGACAAGACCTCAAAACAAAGATGGGAGATATATAA